ATTGTCAGCGCAATATATAATAAAGTAGTAGAAAGGAATTTCTTGCGTTTTATTGTATCAAATTTTTTTGTTAAAGCTTACTTTAATCCCTCGTTTTATCACCTCAAGCTCTGGAATACGCACAGGATACAAGAGAGAATTATTGGATAATTATTCACGTTTTGTTTCGTGAAAGAGGATTAAATTTACAGCTGCATTAGTACACACAACTACACTAAAGATAAAGAGAGACAATGACGTGTAATACTTTTGTTACAATTATTACTATATAAATCCGCTCAATTTTACGATTATCGATACTAAACGGCTATGTTTGTAATCATTAGACAAATCTCTCTCTGGATTAGAGATACTTAAATTTAATGGAGTAATAATTCCTTAGCTTTATTCACATCTGGTATCAAGCATTATCTGATGGCCTTACGAAGAAAATAGATATCCCACAGAATTGGCATTGCCATGGTAATAAAAGAGGAAGATTTTTGCATCGATAAGTTAACGAAGGATCAATGCGAATCCTTAAGATTTTATATATTAATATTACACATTATAATTCCGTGTCGTTTAAAAATATATACTAAAAGTTCAGAATTATTATTCAAATTAAATTTTTATTCCTAGCTTTTCAACGCGCACAATGTTTTCTGCTTGATATCGCTTTCGTATCAGTACATGACTAATATCAAAGACAAAAGACACGAGATGGAAGCGAATATTGTAAGCAGGCTCTTCTCGCCAAAGTTGTTTCCTCCTGGTTTCCTCATTGAATCTTTCTTTCTTTTTTTTTTTTTTTTTTTTTTTTTATTTGTAGACTGCAACTCCACGCGCAGAACAGCGTAGCTAATAAAAAAAAGTTAATATTGTACAGCGCATCGTACGAGAGCCGTTTCATTGGAATCGGTATTACGACGGAGAGCATATACCCATGGAATCGGCGAGGTCACGGCGGGTGACGTCATTCATGGATGATCACTGTCTTTACAGAAGACGCGACCTTGAAGTGTCTCCGCGCTTCGATGTAGCAAGCCAGCTTAACGATCCATCGATCGCTTTCGATCGCAGCCGGCCGGCCTCCCGGCCGCTGGAAGTTAAGTTGATCGGTCGGTCAGTCGTTCGGTTGGTTCGTGTCCGCGAACGAAATTATCACTTTCCGACGGTTATTAATTTGTGCGCGTTAATACTCGAAATTACAGTTGTCTGCATTCGTAATGTGTTAATCTCTATGCTAATGGCGCGATTCCATGCCTATAATAGCGTTTCTTTCAGAACACGCGTAAATTAATAGAGCATAAATTAATAAAGCAAAATATCTGTTTTACTCTCGATCTCGATACTTTTAATATTCATACCGATATCAAGTGTCGCGAAACACCATGCTGCTTTTAATCTTCAAGTGACATGCGTCGCTTTAAACTTCTAAAGACAACATCTACATTATTTGAAAAGTCGAGCTTACTCGAATTGAATAATCGATTACTCATTTCTAACTTAAAGATTGATCATTTGAGAAATTCTACGAGACGTATTTTTTTCAATCAGAAATCCAATTTTCATATAAAAAAAATGTCGTTATTTGAGATTAATAGTCTGTAATACGATGGTAATAACATCTCTACGGTTTCACCGTACCTTGAGAGAATGCGCGAGAGAATAAAACGATAGAATGACGAAGGAGGTCGATTTCGTGATTGCGCGTGGAATAAATGAAAATCGATTAGTTCCTCGTACATCCGGTTCCATTACCGCGAGTATACCGATAACATTCCTCTCCTTGACACGCGTCTCGATTGGCTAATATAATATCGGCTATTTGCGGTCGCTTATCATAGATCCTTCATCAGTTAATTACCGTCGTGCCTTTTCGCGAAATTTTATGCTCCCTTGTTTTTCACAGTCTAAGCTAAGTTATGCCGGAGCGTCGCCGTTCCTTTTTTTTCCTCTTCTTATCGATTTGTTGCACGAAACTTAATTACGAGAAGGAATTAACGAATTAATGATCCTGAGTGAAGTTTACTTCTACTCTACGTACCGTTATTACCCCGTCGCGCAAATGCGTAAACACTTACGCATCGAGGGCAAGACGCGCGATCCCAGAGAGAGATTTATCGATCATTATCAACGTAATTCCATTATACGCAAGTTATCGTAAACCGAAGAATTTCTCGTTGTCGCGTTTCACGTCATCGTGATTACGCATCGTAACAACCTGGAATTCCTCCATTTACAGCTACTATCAATAATAATTTCTCTCTTCGCAGCGAATATAAATAGATTATTGAGCATGCTTATTGCTAGCGATAATCGCGATTCTCCACGATTGAAATCATTACTTTATTAGGCGCTTAATTGCTTCGTTAGTTCTCCAACCATGTCCCCGTAAAAAATGCACACGTACGTCCATAAATACGTACTAAACGAGAAATGAAGTTTGCAATTCAAATTTTATAAAAAGATGATGAAATTGCATTACTCCTAAAAATCGCACATTTTTTTTGTTAATCTCATTCCTTTATTAAAAACACAATAAATTATTCTCAATTGTTTTTTCATCTTTTCTCATTAATATGCTAAGTATACCAGTTTTTATTTTATGAAATAAAAAAGATCCTTCTTTTATGTAAATAGAGAAGAAGGAAGAAGTTTTGCTGTATTATATACTTCTATTTGCACAAGTTAGTTGTTACAAGGACTATCGCGTTTTCGAAGTTTCGGGACAAAATCGTCTGAACAAGATCCATTTTTTCAGATTGTCCCGCATTACACAGATAAAGAGAAAATCGAGTAAGAACGATCGTCTAGCGTATTATAACAACTAATCGAGTTAAGAGAGAATCAAGAAAATCAATTGCTGCAATATGGCATGGGCGACTCGTTCTCCCTTATACTTTTGATTGAGTAGCAGCTAATTTCATTGTATATAAATACTGATCCTCAATCAATAGTCTATTTTTTAAATACTATTTTTTTAAGCTTTAAGCAAAAGAAAAAAAAACACTTGCCTCTAATAAAGTACGAAATAAAATGATTAAAAAAAAGATTAAAAAAAGACAAAAAAAAAAAGATTCATGATAGTATTATATTATAATTTCAACATTAGCGTTCAATCAATATTCTGCGAACGCTTTGTTCGCCCTTTTTTCCCCCTTTACCAAATGAAAATCTACATATCGCATAGGTGAGAGCTTTATGGAGATTCCCTCGAACCGAACCGCATCGGACGCTACAATCCGGGGGCAAGGACCGTCGAGAATGCGGGTGGTTTTTACAACGTCGAGGACGGGCTCGCCGCTCATGCCGCGTCGGGCGGCATAGGTCGAGTTTAATCGACTGTCCGGTCCAGCGCTCGCAGATGAGTTATCGATCGGCCTGTCATCGGCGACAGGTTATTGTTCCACGACGCGCGCGGATAAGGCGTAAGTCAGTCTCCGAGAGCATGCGAGAGCGCATACATTGTCGGTCGAGTCCCGATGCGGCGTGGCGCGGCGCGGCGCGGCGCGGCGCGGCGTCTCGCGAGATCACGAGCGAGGCCGGCTCGCTTGGGCGATTTGTCACCGCCATTAAGCTCACGTCAGATCGGTTTTTCATCTCTCGATCTCCCGGGCTGCGCGAGGGGTGGATAGGCCTCGATTCGTCACAACGTCTCTCTACGCTCGCGGCCAGAAGTTAACAATAAATACGAACGATAATTAGTCACGGCGCGGAGGGCCGCGCGGGGCTCCGCGCGGTATGCGATACGCAAAAAGTGCATTAACTATCGGATCGCGATTCTCGCATTCTTATGTCGCCCGCGAAGATTCATTGAAGTTGCGTCGGGTCCGCATTGTACGTACCGCGCGGCGTGAAATATAGCGTTAGACGATCGCACCGTTAATGCACCGAGAATGCAGACTATTAAGGATCGGAAATGTGAAGAGATCCAAAAAAGGCTTTTCGGATTATTCCGAGAGATCCGGCAGGACTTTGTCCTCTGACGAAAAGGAAACAGAATATTTTAAATGAGATCGCGGAAACCAAAATCAGCTGAAATCTCATTTCTGGAATTCTCTTATGCATTTAAATTCCATTTATCAAATCGCAATTTGCGAACGCAAATTTTGCAGAACAATTTTCCGTGATGCACTCTTTGTCGGTACCGCGATTGTAAACATCAGAAATGTTCAAAAGAGAAACGGAAAAATGTCGTTCTCGCTCGACGTTGCGATTTGTGTGCAGCTCTCGGCGTCCCTTAACGGGATACAGAGAGCAAAGGTGAGCGTACGAAGAAGCGCATCCAACGGATCCGCGATCCGACAAGAAATTATTTACGAGCCGTCTAATTAGGAGCTAATTATTAATAGCACGAAGAGATCGACCATGGTGAACATCGCTGATTATCGTGCAGGACGAGCGCTATTAACGCCTAATTAACATATTCTGTGTTTCATACCTTCACGATTATCATCACCTCTCACAGAATCCACAAGTTTTTGTTTCATTTCACATAATTTTTCAATTTTTCTTAAAATTATCATTTTTTTATATTAACAAAATCAAATCCTTAAGATCATATCAAGAAAAAAATTTTTGTCCAAAGTTAAAAATGCTTGAATGTCTTTTTTTGTTAAAATTGTCAAGTATCAATCACTTCATTTCTTTCTTTTCGAACTGTGAGTCGTAGGCATATTCACAAAAAAGTGTCCATCATGTAGAAGAAAAAAAGTTATCCATGGTATACATAGTAGGTATTTTCGATATTATAAGCAGCGACAGGGATGCAATTGATGAGCAAACAGGAATTCAGTAGCTAGACAATCGTGAAATCCATTGGTTTTGAATTATCGCTATAATATTGACAGACGATTAATTTTTTTTTTCTCCAACAACTACGATACTCGTATATTTTCATTGAGAGCGTGACTCAAGCACTCAATTTTACAATAACGTCGCATATATTATTTTAATTTCCGACACATGCGAGAAAAAAATTATCATATCTTGCAATAAAAAAGATTTACTATATAAAGTTTGTTAATTCTTATTTATTTTTTTCCATCGCTTGGCCATGATATACATGAAGGAGAACTTTTCTGCGGCGGATTTCGGTAAACAGTATGTTATTGAGACGCTAAACTGACGTTCCAAGATCGACGTGGCTTGCCATTAACGTACGAGCTCGTACGTCTGGAACGATCGGAATAAATTGCTCGATTGTAACCGCAATTAATTACACGCACCGGTAACACGGTCCCCGAGGACCCTCTTTGAGCGAGCACCTGCGAACATGACAATCAATTCGCTCTGCGTATGGTAGTGCGATCATCTAATTTACCATGCGCCTTGTACCGATTTCCATTTACAGGAATCGCGTACATTCCTGCTGTAGCGTAATCGTAATTTAGTACCATACATTCGACGCCTTGCCTGCCTTAATATATTATTATAACCTTCCTCCCTTCCTCTCTTTTCTCTGCAACAACTAGCATCGTCATTACTTAAAACGGTACAATAATTCATTTAGGTCACACGCAGGATATCCTGGGTTTTCTTCATTTCCTCCCGCCTGGAAATTCAATTGATCTGAAATGCATTACATATTCATGATCAAAAGAGATACTAATAAGTTTAGAGATACAAACGATTAAATGCATGAAAAAATATAAAAGAAGGTCCACGCTTAATCAAATTTAATTTTTTTAACAATCACGAACTTCAACGCTCGCGTTCAATTAAATAAACGAAAGAAAAAAAACGCCACCCAACATAAATTTTAATTGTATAAATTTTCAGAACTAGGGTTCTGTATTTATGTATTCTTTTTATATTTTGGCGACCAAAAGGGTTTCAGTTCTCGGCCGATAATTGATCGCGATTCGAGCAAACGCCGCACAAAGTGGCGCGTTCCGCACGAGGCACCGATAATTACGTCTCGGTACCGGCGGGCATTAATTAGACGCGACGAAATAATTAATTTCCAGTACTTAGATCATCCTCAGGAATTCAGCGACGCCGTATACGCTTGCAAACGCACGCGCGGCAAACACTCGCCGCCGGGAGGCTCGACCTCGTCGTCGCCGTTGAACAGATCGATTTATCGAATTTATTGCCGTCTCTATCTATCGACGATCGCGCGTCGCTGTAATCGCTATATATAGAAATCGCGAAGACACCTGCGATTCCGCCTCTCCTTCCCCCGTCTCTTCTAACGCGTCCTCTCCGACTTGCCTGTACGCATGTATGTAAATAAAATGCATCGAGCATTCGATCCGCGGAATCACGCGACACCGCAGAAAAAGCTGCTTTTCACGGCTGTCCGGTCAGAAATTGTGGAGGCCTTTGGCCTTTCCGGTAGTCATCGACGGTGATTATGATGAAAAGGAATGCTACTTTGGCACAAATTCTTGGTGCACGTCGCGCCACTGAAAAATGAATCTCCGGAGACGTCTCAACAAACGTTTATTTAATTAAACGACCGCCTTCGTTGCGTTTCCGTAGAAACCATCCAGACTTTAACGTTTACATTCGCAGTAAACAAACGAAACGAGACGCGAACGTGGGTAGCCGCCATTACCTGCCGCTCGAACAATTCAGTTTTGTGCACACAAATGATGTAGCTTTAATAAAAACTAAGCTAACAATTAAAAATTCGGCGCGATTTGATAGCGTGCGCGAGAAAGGGAGGAACGGAATGCAATTGAACGTATTGTGTAGAATAGAACTAGAATAGAATCAACTCAAATCTGATAGAGCAATCTCGATGTTTGGAAACTAAGTTTGGAATCGAAGAACAATCCGCGTGATTAAAAGGGAAAGGCGTCGAACTTAATCGACTCGAACACTATTCCTACCGGGATACACATCGACTTCAAACGACAATCAAACGAAATCGATTTCGAAAGTCCGACGTGTCTATCGAGAATGAGGTGAATTTACACGAGAGCGTTTGCTTAACAGTCTCGTGCAATACAAGGTTGTACACACCGGGAAACGCAATTGACTGCCGAAATTTGCATTTCAAATCGCGAGGGCGACGGCGCGGGGTAATTTAGCAAACGAACGTTAGAGATAAAAGCCGGGTTGTACCGGGAGAGACTCTCGGAATTTAGATTTGGATTTTCGCGAATCTCGAATAAGACCGGGGAGGAGGGGGGGGGGGAGAGGGGGCGAGGCACAAACTTGATAGCGATAGTACAAAGATTCTAAGTCGCCTGACGTAGTAATAAAGTCGACGAACAACTGTATAAGCCGCGCCCGGATTTGACGGATGATCGATTGACAGCCGTGGAATATCTCCGTCGGCTCCGAGAGAGACGCGCACACTTGTAAACACTATGCTAAGGCTCCATAACGCGGAGTACGCGACGTGAATAATTTACAGCCAATTATTTATATCCTTTCTGACGATCGCGCGTCTCTCCGAGCGGCGCCATGTACGCAGCTTGTTCAGTGATTGAACTACGCAGAAATCGGCGATGTTATCGACACGCGATCGCTAATATAATCGTCGATTTAGCAACGCGTCTCTCTCTCTCTCTCTCTC